GTATTTTATTGTTTTTTAGGTCGCTGGTTAAGAATCTGAAATCTAAATTCCAAAATTCAAAATGGCGGATCCAATATGGCTGCCCAATATTGCAAAATTTAAAATAATCTGAATGAATATTGCTTCTCGGGGATCTTTTAGATTGCTGATTATGAATCTAACGTATGAATTCCAAAATTCAAAATGGCGGATCCAATGTGATGGATGCAGATACGCAAAAACAAGATTTTTGTGAAAACTGAAATCTAGAAAAATTACGCGTTGTTCACACCGGTCTTTAAAAGTTTATAAAAAAGAATCAAGGAATGGTTTGGGGATTTTTAAAGGATGGATGAGTAAAAAAATACTGGAAGATCTTCCATGGGGAACTTACGGGATTTTAGAGTTATTTTTAGATTTTAGAATTTGTAATAGTGTCTTAAAGAACTCTCTCTACACCGTAAGCAAAAAAACTATTTAAAAATCATTATTAAAATCCAGCTGATGAAGGAAAAGTTTAATCAAGATCTTCACTGTGCAATCAAGATATCAGGAATTAATCTGCTTCACTTCAATAACAATGAAGCAAACTTTAGTCAAATTATTTTGAATTTTGGAATTCATACGTTAGATTCATAATCAGCAATCTAAAAGATCCCCGAGAAGCAATATTCATTCAGATTATTTTGAATTTCGCAATATCGGGCAGCCATATTGGATCCGTCATTTTGAATTTTGGAATTTAGATTTCAGATTCGTAACCAGCGACCCAAAAAACAATAAAATGCTGTCGGAACTATTTTTTAACATGAATATTAGGGCAATGAAAACACAATAGTGTCAAACATTCTCAAAGAATTGGCACAACTTTGACCCCCTATATTTCGCAAACCAGTTATATACTCAACTCAAAAATTTTATGCAATTATTGTCTTATCATGACTAATCATTTGGCACAAAATTTGCTTCAAAATTAGAGGTCCAGAAAAGAGGCAAAAAACACCTAATTTTGGTCTGGCTCTTTAAAGTTACAAGCTTGACCGATCAAGGCTAACGATAAGTCTCAAGGTTGACCGAGTTAGTCCAGCGATCCGCTGGCATAACCGGAGAAATCAGAATTAAAATGTGGAAGCGCGAAATTACACCACAACTTAATGATAAATTGTAGAAGACGGGGTAGGCAGACGCGTGATTGGCCGAGGCGATCTTCCGCTCTCACGTGACGCCGGTAGAAGGGGAGTTATATAAGCGGCTTCCGCAGGCGTCTCGAGGTCTGATCTTTGATCTCTTCGCACAAAGTAACAGGAGGCGTTCGTTCCTGACGATAGACACAGTTTCACGTTCGCGAGTATAAAACCGAGCGCGTAATTAAAAAAAAGATATCGCGAGTCCGGCACACCGATGTCGGGTTGAATCTCGCCGCAACCGCGAAGTTAACCACGGAATTTGTCCGGATCTAATTTCTTTTCAATACAGAAATTTCAAGTACGTGCGCTGGAGGACCGACGACCTTTAACCGGCACCGAAACGAGTTTCCTTTCGAGTTTAATTTGTCGCAAATAATTTGCGTAACGCTGACGGCCGACGATGTCCAGGCGATGCGATACGCGACAAGTACGCGAAAACGCGTAAACGGAGCAAACGCGAGAGTGTATGAACAAGTGCGTGATTTTCTATTTTATATATAAATATTCAAAAAAATTTAATAAACTAAAGATTAAAATCGTAACAAAGTGTTGATGTAACCACGCCTGTTCGGTATTTGCGCGAGGGACATTTCGGTTGCCGATTAAGCGACGCCGCGCCGAACTCCG